AAATTTTCGAGAAGGTAAGTTTTTATCCCTATAATTTTCGGATCACTAGACTTTCAGCTAGGAAATCCGAACAGATGAAAAGTTTTTAGGGGATAAAAATATGCCTATATCTACCGTTTGAATACTAAAATACGTTCAACAATACTATGTTAAGTGGTTTTGAACTATATCCTCGTTGGGTGCCCCTGGAAAGTGCACTTAGCTTATCCATGCAGCTAGTTTACTGGCACGGCACTCTTAGAAACTTAGAAACACTTAGAAACAAATAATTCAAATACAACATAACAGGATTAAAACACCAACTGGCGGGAGGCAACCAGGTGGCTATTTACAAGCGAGGCCGAGAATTTGAACTCGGGACGACCGGGAACAAATCCCGCGGGACTGCCGGATTGGGAGTCCGACGCGCTGACCGCTCGGCCACGCTGCCTTCATGGCGTCAAAACTATAATGCAGTAAAAAAGATTAAAAGGCTTGGCCGTGAGAAAACAGTAAAGTGTTTAAATTTTGAAACTTGATTAAACCTTACTTAATACAACATTTTTAAGTTGTACTTGCTCTGTCCCCTCTCGCTCAACCTTCAGCCCAAGTCCGTCGAGTGACTTGGAAAGGTCGAAGTTATTTCCACGCACTACGCATGCCTTGCAAACACAGCTTACCGATCGCTTCAGAGCCCGCCTGTAGCTTTTGTCAAAGACAGGCAGGAGCGAGAAGGCGGAAGATTGGATAAAAATCAGCCACTGCATGACAGCGTGTAATTGGTGAGGATAGTTTGCTGAAAACAGTTGCATCGTGGCTGAGACATAAAGAGGCAACCAGCAAAACATGGTCAAGCAGCACCTCAGTGTCAGCAGCCGTGAGAGGTTCAGACGCTGTTGGAGGGCAGTGAACTGAGGCAGGAATCGGGGACTATGGAAAACTTTCCTTGGATAAAACAGGGCCTGCACTTTGGGATGGATCCTTGAGGAGATGACAAATGAATCCCGATAAGAGGTTGCAATCGACAACTGGATAGATGGCGAACTCGACTGGGAGTCTTTTCTAGACGAATTATCAACAGAGGTGGGTGAAGTGTCTTTTACGTTGGCGTCCTCCGAAGTATTGCGATCTAGTCGGACGTTGCGGAGGATAATTTCCAACAGACTATTGTCAAACGGCCTTAGTTGCTGAATAGAATTCCTCCTTGACGCTATAGGACTCTCAGTGGTGTTGTGAGACAAAATCGTTCCAGATCGTGATCGGACACTTGAACGTCTTGAATGGATTCTGGACTGAATTCTTGAATGAATTGACTTCCTCCGCGATCGAGACCACGACGTGTTAGATGAAGCTGTAGTTGTCAATTCTGGGTCGTTGATTTTCGTCTCGAGTTGATGCCTTTCCCAGAAGATGTGAAGTGGGTACAATCGACGATGTTTTCTGACGCG